ATTCATTTTTCCAGGACATAGCAACAGCTCTGTCTCCCAATGCAAGAAGCTCAATCCATTGACCTCAGTGTCATTGGACCAAACACTGTGAGAGCTTGCTGCAGTAACAAATCCTAATGTCAGACTGGGACACTCTGACCTAAAAATCAAGACTTCTCTGGAAGATGCAAAATAATTATTTGCAAAATATGAGGATGTGTTACATAAACGTCTTGCTTTGGGACACATTATAAAGCCATCTCACATTATAAACACTGTTTTTCTCATTCTTAGGTTACAAAAGATGAATTTTTTAACTACTACTCTGGAGTTAGTGCTTCTGTGGACAGTGATGCCTACTTCATTTTAATGATGAAGAAATCCTGGAAACTCTGACTTTGGCTCTCATTTGCCCCAACTTTTCTGGGAACAGAGACTACGAAGAAGTGAAACACTGTTCAGTTTGTTGTGGATTTGACTTTTTTCCCCAGTTCCCACCTGAGAAACATTTTCAGAGCTGCATGATTTGATGACACCAGCGACAGTCGCAGTGCTGGACTGTGACGTCTGGATTCGTGTTTCAACAGGTGGCGCTTAAAAGCCAAGGATTAGCTTGGCCTTAATGACATCTAGAGTGAGCAAAGGACTGGCATGGTTGCTATTAGTTAGCCATTGCTTTTCCTGGCATCATCAGTTGTTTTCTCATGTGTCTGTACACCAGATTTGTTCTGCCAATGTCCTGTTGCGCACGGGAGTGCTAAGCTGGGACTTTATGATCACGGTAATAAAGAACTGTTTGACCCTAAAATAATTACTCACAGAGAAGGTAAGTCTCCTTTATGTTACATTTTAGCTGTTTTTAAAGGACAGCTTCAGAAACCCACAACCAAAGCGATTAGTAGCCTCAGACAGAAGCTTACTGACTAAAAGCCTGCTGCTGTTCCCCCCAGGGCTGCAGCACTGCTGTATAAATACAGGCCTTCAAGTCCATAAACATGTTTGCTAAGGAGTCTAGAAGGAGCTGAACTCCTGCCCTGGAGAAATACCCTGCCACCATCGTGGCTTCATGGTCAGCTTCTGCCTGCCTAAAAATGCTGCAAATTCAGCCACATGTCCCTGGAGTAGCGATGGCTGGGGCACCCTTTCATCATTTATTTCATGGCCCAGATTTCTTTGCACATCACATGAATTTAACCATCCCTTCACTCTGGCAGAAGGAGTTCCCCTGCCTCCCCGTGCTTAGCTGGTCTTCTACCACCCCACTGCCACACACAGCATTTTTGTGTGTTTTATCAGCCTGTCTAATGAATGTGCACAAGAGGAGCAGATTTGGTAAACAAACTAGTAAATTCAACAGGGCACAAGTATCGCCTTGAGACCTAACATTTTTCAACATCATTAAAATTAGACTGTGACTCAGTGTTCTAACTGACAAAAGACTTATTTCAATTAATGGATTAGCGTTTGTGTGCCGCTAGATGTTTGCATAGTGCAAATGAGCTGTGCATGGTTGAGGAGAGAAACAAAGACGGGAGGGCAGCTGTGTTGTACCATGAGCACAGAAGAGGCAGTGGAGACTGACGGGTAGGTGTGGAGAGAGGAGAAGGCAGCTCCAGGCACAGTGTCATAAAGCAGCTGTGTAGAAACCAGGGTCACCAAGCTCTTTTTGTGTGTGCAGTGGACTATGGGCACAGGAGGCAGGAAGTCTGGAGGAGGAAGGTTATGCTGAACTAAAGAAGGTGCATGGAGTATGTGAAAGCTGAGCCATACCCCTGTGCGGATGTTGAGTCAGATGGGAATTCATGCACAGCAATGGGGGAAACTCTGTCTCGTAGAATAAGGGAACTACTCGGCCCTGACCCAGAGAAGAGTTGCCAAAACATAGCTGTGGCTGTATCTTTATAAATGTACTACCCATCTAAAAGCAGGCCATGGGCCAGAAGTGCTTGTGGTGGTTCTTGCATTGGTGCATATTTGGATTTCTTTTTTTCTGAAAGGAAGTGGAAAGTTGTTGTATCTGTGTATGCACATCAAATTTATGTTGATGGTTATAAAATTGCATATGATATTCAGGAGTGCTGATACTAAGACTGCTCAAACATTGGTACTCAGCATCTTCAAAATAGTCAGGGACCAATTTTTCCAAAAGATTTAGCTCTCACAGTTCAGGCCAGATTGTCAAAGCTGAAGGAGACTGCTAGCCTCTCTGTGCTTCAGAGCAGCCTAATCCTCAAACACAGTTATCTCAGAGGAGCTTAGAGGTTGCGAAAGCCCCAGACGGGGACTTTGGCAAAGCTTCTGGCTCGCCTGAGCAAATTTTAGCCATTGTCAGGAGATCGGTTTCACTTGTCTGATTATCAGAGCTGTGTTCTGGGTAACAAGGGCTGGATGTCAGTTGGAGTCAGGATGAGCAAAGGCATGCCCAGCCCAAAACATAGGGACTGCAGTTGCAGAGGGGCTTCCTTGGCTTGCAGGGTGGTGGCAATGTAGGGAGGGTGGTGTTGGCTGTTGTCCTACAGTGCTTTCAGGCCTCGGAGTTGTCAGGACTTATTTGGGTTTTATCCTTCCTGAAGTTAGCTAGAGCTCATGGAGTGATCCTAATTTCAGTGGGGGCTGAGTAAGTCCCACTCTGATAGATGTATATTAGAAGACTGAATGAGAGTAGCATAAATAGGTCGTGCAAATAGCCATATCCTTTTAATACAGTAAAATCATTAAAAAACCAAGGTTACATGTTATCTAATTAAATAAGATAATAAAACATAGAAAATAGATTGAATGTTTAAACATTAGCAGCTATGCAAAATATGAGTATTACATAGGAAAAATATAACTATTTCAGAGCGATTAAAGTAAATAAACATCAGGTTCCTACTACTTTTCCCATATTAAAGAGCAAACATCAGGTTTTTACTACTTTTCTGCTATTAAAAAACAGTATGCCTTTCTGGACACACAGAAAGACTGTTACACATGAGTCCCTTACTGCTTAAATAGTGCAAATAGGCAGTTGTGATATCCCTTTTAATCCTTAAATATGTGTATATGAAGTCGAATCAAGCATAGCACATATTGTACAGGATTTTTCTGATGCGCTTTTGCTTCTTCCTCTCTTCCCTTTTCGTTTGTCACTGTGTTATTGGAAGAGGATATCTTTCCAGCACAGTCTGTCTGCGTCTACAAGTGCACAGTGCAAGTCGGCACAGCATGAACATTACCAGCAGCTCTTTTTAAAAGGAAATACAAGCATTATAAAGCAAATTAATGTCCAGGGCTTTTGTCTTTTTCTACTGCATTAAACAGTGCTTCATTCGGCAAGAAACAACAATAAAAACAATTCTGTAAAATGTCACTGGAAAGCCTTGAGCCAAATCTTTGGCCCCCCTTTGCATGCAAGAACCGTAAGGTTATCCCCATTTGAAGGTTTCCCTGGTGTCGGGTGGAGGTGGAGTGCTGTCTTGGGAGTGCTGTTTTCTCCAGCAGACTACACCAAATATAGCAACATCTCGGTGATTATTACCAGTCAGAACAAATTCGAGCAGCTCTGAGGATGAGAGAGGACTTTTTTCACCCTTAGACTCTGGGAATGTGAGTTTGCTTCAGTAAAGGAGAATTTCAAGCAGCTAGAGGAACTGAGACTGCACAGTGAGGTGAACCCCAATCCCAGAGTGCAGCAAAGCAGCTTGGATTTCCCATGGCCACACTGCTCGGCTGTCACGCAATCATGTGGCTGTAGCAGCTTCATCTCCAAGCACGTGCTCTGCAATACACAGCATCCCAGATGGACTGTCAAGTGGCTCATCCATCTCTGTGTGACAGCATGTGGGGAACGCCTTAGAGCTGGGCACAGAGTCCAGAGAAGGGTGGATGGGAAGGGACAGGATGCCTTCCTCCATCATAATGTGGGGGGGAAAAGGGAAAAAGAAGCAAAAAGCTATCTTCAGGCAATTTAGAAAGTAGTTTAAAAAATATAGAACTTCTGATCACTGGCAGGATCCATGACACTCTATTAATATTCCTGGGTCAGATGTTGCATGAGAAAATTGTCTGGACAAATTCAAAATATTCTCATGCAGCCACAGTCATTGGGAATAATGCTAGTAAACAAAAATGGTCCACTCAGCCCTTCTGTCCTGGGGAGTGCTTACATGCTGCACTAATGCTTGCACAAGAGGGGCAGAGAAAGTTCGTAGGAAGAGATGGGACTTCGCTTTTAATTTGTTTTGTTTTGTTTTCTCAGCTAAACATTGGTAGTACATGAAATACTGAAGATCTTGAATATATAGCACTAGCAGAAGTCTCTGTGGATCCTAAAATTGGCTCCAGGGCAGATCTTTACCAACAGCATAAAGTAATGGCATGTAGGTTTTGCTTTGTTTTACACTCTCTCTCTCAAAAAGAAAAATCAGTATGAGAAAACATCTTCCTAAAGTGAGTCCACGTGCCCTTTTTCCTGGGGACTCAGCAAACTCCCTTTGTGGTGACCAAGCTCCTGAATCCCCAGACAACTTAATGCTTGATAGCAACTCCCATTTACTGGCATTTTGAAAACTTGTGGACTTCCACTGACTGCAGAGGGGTTACTTTTGATCTACCACTGTTTAAAGAGTTTGGATTCTATTTAACTTGAATTTGTTGCCATATTTCTTGCTTAGGCATTAATAAGAGTTTAACTCTGCAACCAAGAGGTTAACAGAAGAGTTCATTAACTTTTACAAGGTATGCTGTGATCCTCATCTAGGACTGCAGTGTTGTTGCTCTGGATTAATCAGATCTGAAGATTAAAGTCAGGTTGAATGAAATTCAATTTCTGCTGCAGCGGAGATTGTTACTGGCGTACTGAGAGCCGAGGCTAGGCCACTTACCACTGAAACATGGGAAAACCCACTTTGTTGCAGGTATAGCGTTGCACTGCGAGCAGGGTGCGTTGTGGAGGTGGGAACCCACAGGCCACAGGAAAACAAAACAGAAAGTCCTGCTTGTGTTAGAGAAAAAATGGTACACTGTCATTCCTGTAAGGTTTACTGAATTTTGTAGAAGCTGGACATTGTGACATAGGCTTCCTCGTTGTTGGGTGACCTCATTTCGTTGGTAGGCAGGGATATGGTGTCACCATTTAAGGGCTCTGGTCCAGGCTGGCTAGATGGATCCGAGGGAGGAGTGGAGGAAAGGTTAAAACCATCATTGCACAGGGGCACCCCATTGCTGTGGCACACCTCGTATGTACTGGAGCCACAGTTTCCTTCAGTGGCTGCAAACTGGGAGGTGCCCAGGAGTTTGTGCAGGGCTTCAGCCGACCAGATTCCTCCATAACTCACAGACAGGTTCAGGTTGCTTTTGTCTGTCATCACAGGGATCATCTTCAGGTCTGATCCACTCCTGAATTTTTCTGGAAGATTTGTCTCTGGAACAGTTGATGGCTGCAGAAAATTTTCCAGTTCAGCTTTTGCTCCAATGCCATCCACTTTATGGATATGAACGTAACCAAAACTCTCTGGGTTAAAGCTTATATCAAAATTCTGCATGGCAAAGGGAACAGCACGGTCAGTTAACACTGAGTATTAGCTTAATAGAAAAGGTACTTGGATAATTCTTTTTATTTTAGAAGGGCATTTATTATTTCTTTAACTCTGAAAGTGACCTTGAGCAGGCTGAACAACAGGTTACTACAGAATGAACTTTTACATGGCTTAAAATCTTTTTCCATATTAATCTGAATCTATCCAGTGGCCTCCTGCAGGTAGCATCACTGGAGAGCATTTTATGCTTTATGCAATAAGGTGGGAACTGGTGTTTCAGAGACTTGTCTGAGCCATGCATTTATGGCACACCTGCCATTTCACAGGAATGACTGTGCTGACCCAGATGGTTCCTGTCAGTTTTACCTTCCTAATTTAGCAGTGAGGGAAGTAAAATTTTGCCACAACTTCCTGAAACACATTAGGAATCCCTGCACTGGGGAGCATGAGGGTGGGAGAGTCATCTTAGACCCATTTTTAAATTAAGAACATGCTAATAATGTACCAAATAGAGAGAATAGTGCTGAAAAAATGCACTAGACACAGAGTTTTAAGGCAATGGGTTAATCCCACACCTTATGGTTTGTGACATTTGTCCGTCTGGCTTTTGTCTGGCAGAGAGGTTCATGTACTGCATGGTGTACAAGCAATTCTGCTGGCCATGTAAAGGTACATGGGTGTCACCAGGAATGTCTGCAAAGGGCCCCCATCCAGTCCCATGATCACAGTTTCATAGAATCACCGAAGCATCTGGGTTGGAAAGGACCTCTGGAGTCCAACTGGTCCAGCGTTCTGCCAGAAGCAGGACCTAGATAAGGTTATCATCACTGTCAAGCCAAGCCTTGAACATTTACAGCAAAGGAGAACCTACCTCTTCTCTGGGCAGCCTATACAATGTTTAATTGTTCTCACAGAGAGAGATCTTTTATCTTGTATCTGCATGAAGTTTGCCCTGAAGCAACACATGCCTGTTGCCTCTGATCATGTCACCACGTGGCCTTGTGATGAGAGCACCTCCACCATCTGCCTACCTACACTTTAAGTACTGGAAAGTTGTGATTAGTACTCCCCACCCTGAGCTTCCTCTTTTCTATAAACAAACTCAATTCAATCAACTTCTCTTCATATATCAAGTTCTCCAGCCCTCTGTAGTTACTTTGCACAAGTCGAAGCTCAGGCACCAGTTAAATTGTCTGTTATTTCCATACCCTTGACTAGCATCTGCCTGTGGAAATGTGGGTTCTTCTGTGAAATGTAGAAGTCATTCCTGAAAGATGTCCCAGTTCATGAAGCAAATGCACATACTCTCTCTTATGAGTGTTAGTTTTGTTCCCAATAGTCCATACTCAGGTGAAAACTACAATGGAAATACATACATTTTTTGGCTTCTTGCATAGTTGCTCCAGTGTTTTTTTATGATCAGGAAGGTTTGGCCACACAGCAGGCTTGATTCTGAAACAGCAACAGTAGACAAAAAGTAGTTCAACAGCATCAAAAGAGGGACATGCTGAGGTATCAGAGGTTCATTTTGCATAATTTGTACTAATTCTCACAAAGCCTTGCATTACCCAGAATAACGACAGAGAAGTCTCAGAATAAAACAAAGACAGGAGAAGAGGAGTTATAAAGGTCACCGAATACTCACTGTTCTTTTGAGTGCACAAATTGTCACAGTTCAAGGAAGACACTTTATGAAGTACTGGAAAAGTGGCAAATTATGCTGGTGAAGAGCTCATCTGCATCTATCTGTGTTAACAGGCTTTTGCATGGTGAAATCAATTTCCGCAAGTGAAAAAAGATGCTGTGGTTAAAGTACAAATTTGCTGATATTTGCCTCTGCATGTTTACATAAATCAAAGAACTACATATTGTCCCACTCCTTGGGTGTTGCAGTGATATAAATATAGCTATAGAATAGATAGTATAAGAATGTATATTTTGTTTTATATGTCTCTCTATCTGTGGGGGTATATATACACACATGTATTAAACCTTATTTTTAAAAGGGAAATCTCTGGTTTCAAAAAGTCTCACCATCTAAACCCCTGGTTTTTTCAGCAGTTTTACATGTGCAGAACTTCCAGTGAAGTTAGAGAACTGTGGGAGCTCAGCAACAGTAAAAAGGAAAAGCTAGAAATCTCAAGCCACATCTATACTTGCAAATAAATCAGGACCAGGTAGCATTCCCTGGGGGATAACAGCAGTGTCTAAAATGCTGAATTATTAAAATTGTTCTTGGCATGGTTTGACTGGGGCCAACTAGCACATTCCTAGGCAATCCCTGTGTGTAATTCAGGAGTTAACACGGTACAAGTGTTTTCCCCAAAAAATAACTGGCATTCAGCCATCTGTCTGGATGTCAGTGGAGCTGGATGTCACAGATGGCTTTCTGCCTTGTGAGGGGTTCGTCTCCTGTGGTTGAACTTGGTGCTTCTTCACTTCAGATTCTGATTTCACCAGATAAAAGTCCCAGTGTTTTGAGCCCAAGGCTGGAATCTGCTCAAAGTGGTAGGTCATCTTCTACCTGTCAACACCCTCTCTTGCATTGCCCACTTCTACTCTTTACCTGCTTTTGGCTTGATATAGAGGCCCAAAGATGGAAAGAGAATAGTTCACAAGTATAACAGGGAAAGCAATAAGACTGTCAGGACAGAACTGGTTTCCAACACTTTTTCTGATACGAAGAGACTTAGATTACCTGTTTTCCCAAAAAGTTACCATCAGGACAATCATGACAACAGACAGCATGAATCCCAGGATGGAGAGTATAACCACAACCATGCTACTGTCTAAAGAAAAATGAAGAACATCAGCCAATGCATGTAAACATCTCACTGTTAAGCCACTGTGACTGTAATGTCTCTTCAGACCACAAATAAGGAATTAATGCCAAGCATTGCACTTGACTGGTGCAGCGGTGCATTTCTTCTGTCTCCCTGAAGGAGGAAAGAGGCAGGCAGCCAGAGCATCAGCATGTGGCTGAGCTCCAAACTGGGTTCCCAAGATGCATTAAAGCAGTTTGAATTCTGCTGCCACTTCCAGTGAGTTGAAGTCACCACTCGTCACATCCTTACAGCAGCACCAAAGTGACTTCAAACGCATGTAAAGCCAAGGTGCTCGTGGGACTGAAGGGACCCCAAGAACAGAAATTATTCATGTTTACAAGTGCAATGACGAGATTTTTATCCTGTATCATATTTGTGATTAAAGTGCTGTGTTTGCACACAAATCCAGGGCCCTGAAATGGGTCTTGTTTGACCATTCTTTGTGCCTTACCTAAAATGCTCACTGCAAGCTGGTCCTTCACCCTGCATGCCAGCAGGCAGCAAGCAGGATCAAGTCATCCTTCACCCCCCTCATGCCCTCACAGCAGCATTTCATCTGACCTTACTGCCCTTGAATGAGATTTCACTTCGTGGGGAGAGTTAATCCAGACCAGAGCAATACAGCCACTTTCTGGGTCATCTCCTCTGGGATGCCCAGTGCCTGTGAGAGCAGACCCTGCTGTGACCACGGGCTCTCCCCTCCCCATGCTCTTGTCACTGCTGCTGCTGGGACTGGCCAGGGAGCTGAGGGACCCTAGCTCTGCTTTCTTCCAAGTGGACCAAGGTGTTTCTTGCTCTTACAGCTCTCCATGGAGTGCTGCTCCCTTGCGGTTCTGAAGCTCTTGGAATCGCTCCATTCGCTCCACATGCCCTTAAAATAGTCTCCGTTGGGCTGCGAACGTACTTTCACCTCATATGATGCATCATTTTCCAGGTTTTTCCCCAGTAATTTTACCTGAAGGTATGGCGACTCTATTGTCTAAACACACAAAAAAAGTCAAATTATTTTTCTAGAAGACACAGGAATAGTATCTTTGAGTTTCAGCAAGATGTGTGAGGTCACGTGCATTCCTGGAGTACTGTGCTGTTTGCTCCGTGTCGTTGGTTATTATAAAGGTGGTCATCACAGCATCGGTCTAGATTAACAGCATGGTAGTCCAGGCAGTACCAAGAGGAGAGACCAACGCTGGTTAAAAGCTCTTTGGGAAAGAGCTGGAAGTATTAACTGTGCTTTGCCACTGCCAGCACTACAATGGGAAATATGTGCTTCCCTGGAAAGGCTCAGAAGACAGAAGGGGTAAAAAAGAAATTATAAAGAGTAGAAAGACAACTTCTGAAAGAACAGCTACAGGTAAGAAACTGAAATCCCACAGTGCCACTCTGGTGTTCTTCATTTCAATGTATTTGGGTGCCCGAATCCTTTTCTTTTTCTAGCTAGAGTTCTCCCGTGTTCCCTCTGTAAAACCCAGGTACAGTCCATGCTTACAAACATGCCCCAGCTGGACTGGTGTTTGCACAGCTGCTCTTGTGACAGGGACATGGAGGTCCCAGCAGCTGGGCAGCCCAGACCAAATCCAGTTCACAGGCAGCTGTACCCCAAAACATGGTCTGAGGGTGGAAGAGCTGCGGGGCTGTAGCAGAAGCTTGGAGAGGCTCAGTGAAAAAGGGACATAAAGAAGGACTTGCTAAATAAGAAAAGGGGTCATACAATTTAGTGACTGATAAGCTCAGAAAATGAGAGCAAAATTACCATAGCAAAGAGTAAAGGACACGGGTGCTGTTGGTCTAAAATTGTTTAAACTGATGAAATTTCCAAATGCCAAATATCTCACCTTTCCAAATTTTCAGATGGAGAACTGCACAAATGCAGATTTGAGGGTTTTTACATGATATTGGTATTTCTGATGACTCTTAATTTTGGAAATTAATGTAAGCTCACCAGTGCGTCATCACTTACCTTCCAAGTACCTTCTTCCTGCCGATATGCTATTTGGTGTATTAATTTGTCCTTTAAATATTTCTTCCATGAGTGTGGTGTACTATAATGAATAAGGTATTCATTTGCCTCCTTTTGATATGTGATGTTTACATCAAACGGTACTTCAGGCTTAACTGCAAACGATAACAAAATGGAATATATCGGGAGTAGAATAACAAGAGTAGAATAATGTTATTACAACATACACAGGTTTTAAAAAGTAAAATAAAAAGTCCACTTCCTCATGCTGAACCCCAGCTCATCCTTACACCTTGTTCCTGAGAGGGACTTGGTTTTGACCTGCTGGAGCAGCAGCAGGGACAGCATTTCCTAGGGATGTGACATTTAATCATGGAAGACAATTTGTGAGCATGCCCACCTCTGTGGTAGCACTGCTTGAAGACCTGAAATTCAGCCCCTCTAACCAGTGCTCTGAGACAGACACCCCATGGCAAAATGCTTCGCTGCTCTGGGAGGAAGGCACCAAGGAGCAAACTGGGTATGGGTACAAATGCCGGTGACCATCAGGGCATCAAGACAGAGGAAGGGACAAAGTGTGATGGTGTTAGATATAGCAGAAGAGTCTGTGGCACCAGGCTCTTGCTATGAACCCCCACCCAACCTGGTCTGCATAAGACGACCGTGTCAAGTGACCATCTGTGCAAGTACCTCAAGTCCAAAATACAGCTCTCAGGCCTCGCCTGAGCTGTGATGTGCCTGAGATCTGCAGGGACCTGTGTTTGTGCTGCTGAGGCTTCTTGAATGCACCATGTAATGTACTTCAGCTCTCACAGGAACAGAGAACCCATACCTCTCTCCTCTCAAGAAAATGTATATAGCCAGAAATTAAGTCCACTCCTTCTGCAACCCCTAAAAACTTAATCCTTCCATGTAGAACCTGCAGTTTCTAGAGAAGAGATCACCAGACATGGCCCAGGCTGGCCCATAAACTGAGAGGCAATGTGAGATAATTACAAACCTCTTGGACTGGGGCAGAAATGTTTTGTAAGAGAGTGATGTCACAGTACCTCTTGCCAAAGGAACGCCTCTTCCTCTGAGTTCCCTATTTCTTAACTCAGGCAGGTCCCCAACATGGCTTTGACAAGCCCTTTTGTGGGCTCTCAGTGTCCCTTCTGTGCTGCAGGATGCTCGAGCACTTTGATCAGACAACAGGTTCCACCAAGAAGGAAGGTGTGAAAAAGTGAGACCTCACATTTTAGACCCTGTGAGACCAAGCTCACTAGGTTTGGGGTGGTCAGTCCTGAAACTGCACAGTCCCTCATAAGAGATGAACAACATGTTCCTGCTTGAGAGTTCATCCACGCTCAGGAGCTGCTGCTTGGCCTATGTGTGATTTGGTCTATGTCCAGGTCTGGGCAGAATGTTTCAGTAAGCCACAATTCAGCTGCACACTTTGAATGGAGGTTAATCATATTTGGCTTGAAGCAAGGGGAACACTACCCTCTGCCAACATCCCAACCCAGGCTCCACACCCTACTAGGACATTATTTTATACTTCTTCTATGTCATCCAGATTATGTTTAGGCTTAGCACCGGGCTATTTTTTTCCCCAGTAACCCCTGTATCTTGAAAATGTCCAAAATGTTAAATGTCTTACCGATGTCAGTTACAACCAGGCTCCTGCAGACCCTTCTCTTTATCTCAGAGTCCATGCAAATGTCTTTATTTGAGAGTATATCAGTGAACTGTAAGAAATATGCATCTTCCTGTTTCTCCATGTTGAAACACACGTAATTGCTGTCTTCCTTCGTACTGTTGACCAAAGTGACAATGTTAGTTTCTTCTCAGTCTTACTATAACATAGTAAGGGACAAATCCTGGTTGCTCATTTCACATTAACTGAAGTGAGACTCCATGTGAAATAAGAAAAAATGCCATGCAAATAAGGAGTTTAAAAGATTTATGGTGTTTTTCCTTTTGGTCTTTGAGCACAATAATCAAGTGACATGAGTCACAGTAAGTCCTGGAGCCCTCAAAGAAAAAAATGCAATTATTAAATTGGAGATGTATGTGTTTAAAACCTTTGCATCTTTAAAAAATATCTTACTGCTGCCATTTTTAAATATAGGGCAATAGGTTTGGATGCTCACTGAAGATAAATTTCTTATTGACTGAAGTGGTAGCAAATACAGGGTCAATAGTCAGCCAGGCCATGAAAGAGTCATATGGCACAGCTTCAGAGGTGGAGATACATCCTGTGTGTTTCTGCATCTGTGCAACTCCTGTGTTTGAGGACTGTCATAAAATTTCAGTCAAAATCCAGAATAAGACCCATGAAAATAGAAAAGTTCTAATAAAATGGGTGGAAAAAATTAAGTAGTGATTAGAATAGCAAGATAAAAAAAAAAAAATCCTCTTCTTTTGCTGGCTGCCACAGAACTTTCAGTTTCAGGAAAAACAGGCAAAGGGAAAAGCAGAAGTATGCTAAAGAGAAAAAAATCTGAGCTTCAGCTAGGCGCATCAGTTACATAAAAGGTGAAAAAGAGTTTCAAAGCATTGATAAGAAGTGGAAATGACTTATGTGTTTGATAACTGTCGAGTTTTTGTGTACTCATTCTAATGTGTTTTCTGTGTGTCTGTATGTGTAAAAACAACTGCTTAATTTTTGTCTTGACCTAGATAAAGGCATTTTCCCTTCAGCGGAAAATCAGTTTCCTTGCCATATTTTCTGTGGAAAGGATGTGCCTCTTCAAAACCATTTTTACTTTTCACTTGATAACAGCTAGGTTTCTTTAAAAAAAAAAAAAAAAAAAGGAAAAATGCTGTCTGTTCATGCTGGGCTACATCTGTAATAACAGGTGTTCCAGAGCAACAGAGGCAAGATCAGGTCTATTGGAGATAGATGTCCTGGTTATAATGCCCTTTACAGACCCTTCCAGCTCTTTTTTTTTTCTTACTAGGGAGTTATGTTCTGTTTCAGTAAACTCTTCTTCTTTGCTGAATATAGTACTCCAACTTGGTAAAACACTCTGAAGCAGAATTTTGTCTAGCTTTGCTGCTTCTGTTTCCCAGCATATGGCAGTGTGACTCACTGGTGCTTAGCATTTCACTTCCCAGAAGTTTGCCAGAGGACAGACTGACAGCACTTACCACAGGGCCAGGGTATAGTTAGTGTTGTGAGGAGGCAGCTCGGTAAAATTGCAGGTCAGGCTGCTATAGGAATCTTTAAACTCCAGCTGGCTGAAGCAGTCAATGTCAAAATTGTCTGGTTCATCATCTCCAAAAGTCCCTAAGGAGACATTTGCAGGATGTTACCGAAGCAAACCCATGAGTGTATTCAATTTGCAGCTCCATTATATAGGAAGTTGTTTCTTTACATGATTGACTGAAAGGAAGAGGATCAACCCACCTGTTTTGTAAGAAGCAAAGAAAGCTTGTTCAGACTGAAATTAAAAGGCACTTGCACCTTTCAAGGTTCCTCTCCCTGCATGCCAGTGAAGCCCACCCACTTACCACACACAAAGGTACATTCTGCATCATCAGTCTGTGAACTATAAAAAGACAATAGTGTTACAGATGGTTTGATCAGACAAGATAACTAATGTCTGTTCTCTTCTATTAATCGTGGGCAAAGAGGAGCAGTGATGTTGACCTGGAAACCTCTGTGAAAAAGTCCCAGTGTCAAATGCAAAACAGAGAAAATATATTGTCTACTCCACAGTTTAATTTCTCCTAAGTTTGAGCCAGGGACAGGGGAATTCTCATTTTGAAAGTTACAGATGAACTTTATACCAAGATAAAAGCAGGACCTACTCCATCTGAAAATCATCTAAGAACTTTCTCAAGTTTTCCTGTTAGGAACCACAAAATGCTGTCGTCCTTGAGCATGTGAAGGGCAGCAAGACATGTTAATGATGCCTGTTGAAAAGCAGAATATTCAAGTCAAGTTCCAAAACACTCCTGAACATAAAGGGAACAGAAACATGCTGGCTGGAGATATATATATACTGGAGGATATTCTCTGCACAGTTACTGCTAGAGCTGCCTAGGGCTGATTCTTGGGGCTTATGCCTGCTCAAAAGCAAGGGCTAGTTTCAACAGGAGTTGTTTGTGTGGGAATTTCAGCTCAGGACAGCCTGAAAGTACATCAAACACCGTGTAGCTCCGAAGTGGCAGACACACAGCTGAGGATGCACACTTGGCAGATGCCATTGCTGCACCTGCATCAGGACCAGCTGCATTGCAGATGACTAGGTGTGCGTGAGGAGCGTCCTCCTGCTCCAGCCCTGCCCTGCCCATGCTGCGAAGGTCTGTCCTGTTACCAGGTTCCTGAGAAGACTGGAAAATGATATGGGTGGTTTTAGAAAAGCAAGATTATTTCGGTGTCATGAGGCAACTAAGCCCCATTTTGATTGTACTGCAAGGTTTTCTGAAATGTCACAAATTTGGGTTGAGGAGGGAAAGCTCAGACTTTCTGCCAGCATGCGTGGTTTCCTGCAAATCTGCTTCAATGACTCATAAAACCATCACGATTTGACTAAGAGCATATGTCTCAAGTCCTACACTTGGCATGTATGAGGTCAGTGAAGCAAAAACTGTTGCATCTGAGAGGAGTCCTCTCTGGCAGAAACTGCTAGTTCAGCCTTGTTTCATGAAATCTCACCCACCGTAGCTGAGTGGACAGGGAAAAGGTTATTGCCATGATGCCTTGAGCAGATCCTTGGGGCAGAAATGCCTCTGTCTCCTTTCACTGGTGGGTACCTGTGGTGATATATATAACCCTTTTCCCCATGTCCAGGGACTAATCCTGATTCCCTGCTTGGTCCTCTGCTACCTACTCTTCAGATGTGCCCTTGCCACATGGGTCACCTGCCACAGTGAGATCGAGACATTGGCTCCTCTATCAGTCAGTGACTCACAAAGAGTGTGGGAAAATGCCCATGGAAACATTTCCAATGGAAAATCCCTCCAAGAGAAAAAGATGGCCATCTCTGCTGTCACCCAGATGAATCGGATCACTGAGGGGTGACCAGCTACTTGGATACCATGATTCACAGTGCTGTCGGCGATGTCCTGTGATCCCTGGCCAATCCTGCCAGCATACAGAGAGACCCAGACCTTGTCTGGCATGGGAGCACATCTGAAGATCCAAAATGGTCATGGTTTGACAGCAGGGAGGAAGCAGGGGAGGTTTAGATTGCTTTAAAATGTAAGTAAAGAGCATTAACCACAGGGTCGCTATCAGCAGTGCTTCCTCTTGACCTTGGAGCTGAGGTGCATCTGGAATCAGGTTTTGAGTGAGAAAAGAAATTCAGAAGTCATTCAGGAATGCAGAGGAAAGGCAGGGGCTGTGGTGGGCAGCAGGAGGGACAGGAGCATCTGATCCTGCACTAATCCAGAACCCAGAAGCAGATCTATCTCTCGAGCTAAGATTTAGTGGCCATTTGCCATCATGAGCATCCAGTGGTAAGAAACAATTACTGATCCTTCCTTTCTCACCATCACTGTGGTGGGGTCTGTCCCAAGGGGAGCCCAGCTCTCCCTAAAAGACAATGCCATGCACTGTCTTCCACCTGCTCTGCTGCTGTGAGAAGATAACTTGTGCAGCACAGTCAAAGCAGGTGCTGTACAAAGCTTCTGTTTGACCATCACGTTCAAGAGAGTGACACAAAGGTCAGCACAACTTTAGAACAAGCCCTGCAGCAGTTTCATACAGGTGAGAGCCCTGAGTCATCTGGGCAGACATGCACGCACAGAAGTGTATATTACATATAGTTACACATTTGTGGATAAAGGCTGTGCATATAAATATACAAATATCCAAGTGAGATAACAAGTGAGCTGAAATGAATCTGCATAAAGTCGAAAAAAACCTCAGTGTTTTATATAGACACACTCAAAGCTTACATGCACAGGTATGTTACATTTCATTCCTCTCTAAGACTTTCTTTGCAACTACCAGGAGACCAGGAGACTAGCTTATTTATACTCATTGCTATCTCAAGATAACATTAAAACTTGTGAATTAGGATTACTGATCTTTCTTTATGAGAGAGAGAAAGAGACTGCTTGGTGTTCTCTATATATGCAAACTACATTAACCATGTTTTGCATAAACACACAAAACTGATAATCAGCATATTAATAAGTGGTGTATCAGAAAAAAGCTTTCCGCTGTCCGCTGGTGCTTTGCTGAAAAGTGACAGAAATTATGATTCATTCTCTATCAGGTTGTCTGCAAATTAAAATAAAGAAGGATTTGTATTGCAGTTCAAACAGCTATTTAATGTTTAACCAGCGTAGTGCACCTTTGGTGCCGCGCTGAAAGGAAAGCTGACTTTGAACGTTCACATTATGATTATGTGGTGCCTTATTCATGGAAATAACATCCTAACCATAGAATATATGATAATTAAACCTCAGGAATGGTGTTAAGTAAGCAGTTTGAAATACTTTTTCTGGTATGGTTCCTCTGTGTGCTGACAGTAATTTTTCTGTTTCACATAAATATGCATATACCCTCAGTTACGCTTCTGCCCTAAACCTCAGAAACAACATTTATTTATATGTTTGCTAAATAAATTATTTTGATGAGTCCAACATGGCTCACACTGCTAAGAACTGTTTACACAATTGAAAGTTTCCAAGATTACAATTTTTACCTTGAGAAACCCAGACCAGCAAGAGCCCTGAGCCTGGTTCTGCTGAAATCAAGTCAGGGCTTGAGATGGGGCAATCCTAGTGGGAGAAAAACTGCTCTTGAAGCTACAGCCATGGTAAGTCCTTCACAGAAATGGTTGTTGCTTGGGTTTGGACAACACCCAGCAGGATGGTTCAAATCACATCTCATGAGCCTTTACCAAGAGCAGAGACTATGGACAGGCTTCAGCTTTAAGCTCTGAAGTCACCAGGACTAACCACAATGTGTGAAACCGAAGGAACTGCTAAGCACCTGCAGAATCAGTGCCCAACTTTCCAGAGTCAATGGAGATAGATAGTCATTCCAGAGTAATGCAGAATCTCTAGTGTTGATCTGTTTCAGGCAGAACTAATTGTAATCACAACAGTTTTGATGTGGGTTGGATAAACCATGCAAGTCTGGGTGGGAAGACCACTGAAGCCAGCTGTCCTGCCCATAAGACCCTGTAGCCTGCTGCCTTCTGCTCCCCCTGCTCTTGCTCTCCTGTGCCTCCCTGGCTGCCCCCTTCTTAGCTCTGCCTGTAGCTTGAATAGGGCTTTTGAGGATCTCCACCACCTCTGCCAGGCTGGGGGACAGCGCTTGGGAGGCAATCTGCCGCTCAGAAAAGAGGAGGAAGTGAAGACAGGTGCTGCAATGGGCTTTTCCCTCCTCTGCCCATAAGAAGAGGTGAGCTCATGTCTCTGTTGGTTGGTGGCACCTTGCCAGGAGGCAGGGCAAGTTGAAAGGCGAAGAGTGAAAGCCAAACATCCATCAAAGGTGATTTTACCATGGATTGTTTAATATGTTGGCCAAGCCCATGAGACATAAAGAAATCATAAAAGCTGCTAATTGCCCTGTGGGGATTTTTTGAATCTCTTTGTCTTTAATTCTAAGCAAATTATGGTTTACTGGAAGTTAATGACAAAACAAGAAAAGGTCTGGTCATATCTGCTTTTGGGAAGCCCTGAAGATTTCAGTGACACCAACGATAAATCTCTAGCATTGACCTTTCACCACTGTAACTGCTTGCCAAAGCTGGCTCTAAACAGCTGCAGATTATATAAATAAAAGGCAATTAGAAAAAACCAAGGTTCTTGGTCACAGTTCTGAGCCACTCTCTGTTTTCTTCTAACTAAAAACCTTATATATATATGTATGTACATACATATGTGTACCTACATACATGTTATATAATACATGACATACAGGGGAAAATTAGATTCCCTATCTGTGACATACCATAGGAACACAGCCATTATCTTCTTAAAAAGCAAAAACTTTTTTGCTCCCAAACAATGGAGCCCTAAAACTAACAGCAACTGAATGAGTGCCCACGTCCTTCAGGCACAGAGCAACAAGCTCTGTCACTGCTGTGTGTTTAGTGTTAGACAAGTAAGAGTTTAACAGATCTAGGACTGGATCTGTAAAGCAATTTTTCAGCTCCCTTTTGAGAAAAGGGACAGCAGACTGAAATACTAGTTTTATTGCTGTTCTTTGCCTTTTGAATTTTTATTTTGATGCTGCTTTATAGTTTTCAATTCTCTAAATAAGATAATGAAATCTGCAATAAGCCTGAATTTAAACTGTTTAAGTAATTGTTAATTATTTGCCAAGTAAGGGGAGAATGTTCCCTTCCAGGGGCTGTGAGAACCCCCTGGTTGAGTTGCTGCTTCAGCTTTACTACAAGGGAGATTGAAGCTGTCCTCCAGATAGACCGGATGCAATTGCTTAAAGAAAAAAAAAAGTTTGGCTTTTCAAGTGGAACAGTTTGGGTGAAGTTTGAGGTTCATTGAAACATTTTCTTTGGGGGAAACTTCCAAGAGCAAGGGAAGCCAGAACCTCACCCCTCTCTGATGGTAGCTCAGAGTGACCATGGACTGCACAAGAGTGGAGCAGTCCCCTGCTCCCAGACATAACTCTTCACATGAACACTAGATACTGTGAGGGAGGATTTACAGGTCTGATTTTGCATTCCCTTTGCATACAGCTATGGTCTCCCTCATTTTGTATGAATTTGAATATTTACAAGGACAGCAGACTTAGGAATTAAATTAAAGAGGTATCCTCTAGCTCCGTATCTGCCTCAGGTACTGGCACTAAAGGAAAGAGGCTGGAGGATAAAAGACTAACACATTTAACCCAGCAGTTGCATTTTGGAGCTTTTAACTCAAGTTTTTCAAGATCATACACAAGTGGAAAGATGAAGATGAAATGACTCACCATCACCATCTGCTGAGGTGCAACCACTTTCCCCAAAAGTGGTGTGAAGAAACAAGACGAAAATGCTCAATACTGTACTCGTCTGTGTCATCCTGAGCATTCTGCATGTGTGCAGTACGTGTGTGTGTGAAACCCAAGCTCGCTTACTTTATACTAGAGGCAGAACAAACCCATTGCCTGATAAAGAGACCGCAGGCAAGGGGAAATGTAAACATGCCGACAATGATGACTAGTGGCAGAGAGCAGGAAGCCAGCATGAAGATATTTGCAGAGCTTTTATTTTGAAACACGTTTCTCACTTCAAAACTAAGGACTTTCTGGATCAGGCCCATTGACACATCGGGCCAAATCTGGTCAAGTCCAGTGGGTTGGGAGCATGTCTCATGGATGGTGCTTCTCTCTTGGTAAGTGGGAGTTTTGCTGCTGATTTCCCTGAGAGCACAGTTTAGTCCTCTCATCCACTTTCCTCTCAATGGAGTTACACAGGTCCAAGGCATAAAAATCTTCCAGCTGAAACACTAAATGTAATTGCTGTTATTTATTCTTTAAGTCTTGGCATCACAAGCAATGTGGCCAGCAGGTCGGGGGAGGTGATTCTGCCCCTCTGCTCTGCCCTGATGAGGATCCCATCTGCAGTACTGTGTCCATCTCTGGAGTCCTCAGCACAGAAAAGACATGGACCTGTTGGAGCAGCTCCAGGGAAGGCCACAAAAGTGCTCAGACGGATGGAACAACTCTTCTATGAAGAAACACTGAGAGAGTTGATGTTGTTCAGCTTGGAGAAGAGAAGGCTCTGGGGGGACATTATAGCAGCATTTCAATATATGAACAGGGCTTATAAGAAAGATGGAGACAAACTTTTTACCAAGGACTGTAGTGACAGGACAAGGGGCAACAGTTTTAAACTGAAAGAAGGTAGATTTAGATCGGACATAAGGAAGATATTTTTTATGATGAGGGTGGTGAAACAATGGAACAGCTTGGCCAGAGAGGTTATGGATGCCCCATCCCTAGAAGTGTTCAAGATCAGGCTGCATGAGGCTGTGAGCAACCTGATCTAGTTCATGATGTTCCCTGCCCACAGCAGAGGAGGTGGACTAGATGATCTTTAATGGTCCCTTCCAACCCAAACCATTGTAAGATTCTATTAAGTCCCCCATACAGTGATGCTGACCTAGAAAACCTGTGATTTTAAAAGACTAATCCTGCAAAATCTAGCTCCTAAGAACAAAGTGGCACCTCTCACATTTTTTTCAGGCTTTGGACAAAGCAGAGACAGAAAAAGGAGATAAAGAGGTGTTAAATATTTCCTTTGCACACTTTCTGTGGCTGTATACACCAACGCACACTAGAGCATAATGCAGAGCCATGAACACAGCTGACTGATGTGGCTAACTACAAGTGAGCTGAAGACCTGAAAGAGAAGAGCAAGCTCTGGCACAGCACCAGCTGCACCAAAAAAGCTTTGTCGGAGGTGTAAAAGAAACCAGGGGCAAAGTTGGTAACAATGCCCAAAAACAGCAAAATGATGACACTATAATAAGGAGACTTAATATGGAAGACACAGTAGCTTTTTCATTTGCAAGGAAATAATTTAAATTGTTCAACTCTCTAAAATGATGAAAGCTCAGCCCTTTTGTCTGGAAAAGCATCCTTCTTGCCAGGACATCAGGTACTGTGCTCCAGTGTGACTGGCTGCTGTAAGCAGGGGTTAGGGGGTAGCCAAGGGGGTGTTTCAGGGTTCCCCTGCCCTGTTTTAGTCCAAAGAAATGGTCCCCTTTCCACAGCAGCTCAGCAATTCTGCCCAGAAGATGGAAACCTCTCATACCTGTTTCAAGTCTCTCTTTGTGGTAGGACCCTGAGGCTCCCCACCAAAGCATTCCCTGAAAGTGCACTAAGTAAATACAGAAAAATGGGTTTGGATTAATTGGTGAAAAGGTAGGTATTTTGCAGGGTATATTCCTATGTCAGAGCTTCTGATGCTTTGCTCTGGTCTAGCCAGGGGAGAGCATGATTCATCTTATTCTAACACAGACATTCAAAAGATGAAATCTAAACCTCTAAATAAATGTATTTCTCTCCACTGAACACAGAAAGAACCCAAGGTGAGGTGGGGCTTAGATGTTGGCTTGGCAGAACTTTATGATACCTCCCACCCATGAACAGGGGAAGGACCTGCCAGGCTACAGTGACCACCCATACAAAGCAGAGCAGGAGCTGGACATGGCACCAGGGCCAGTGAGCCACTGGAGATGGCAGTGCCATGGCCTGATCGGTCCTCACTCAAGAGCTTGATTTCACTTACAGAAATATTTAGGGCACTGCCCCATTCACACGATATCTCTCCAAGAAATACTCTCTTTCAGAGGCCTAAGTCAGCTGGGGGACTTCAGGAGTAGGTAGTCCTCATCTCTCCCTCCTGAGTTTTCTGCACTTGACCCAAGCTCGTTGAAGCCAGAGTTCAATGAGATTGGGTCCTGGTTGACTTCACATCACTAAGGTCTACCCCGGCTTATTTTAGTAAATCCTTTTTTAAGGATTTCAGCACCTGGCTTAATAATATTCAGGATCATATTATTCTAGAAACCCTCAGGGTAATTTCTACCTCATTTTCAGACAGAAATATCAATAAAGAAGGTCTCTCCTGTGCAAACTGATTGCTATCCGGAAATGACACCTTCTCACTTTAAATTTGTCTTGTTTATAATTGAGTGGGCTATCACTTTGATCTTTTTTTTTTTTTTTTCTTTTTTTCCTGTTTCAGCTGGAGCAAACTAAAAGAAGAAGAGTTTTTAGGCATAATATTTTGGTTGAACCTGAACAATCTTATTATCAGAGGTGTGCTGCTCAGGGGATTTCCATGTTGTCATAGCTGCATTCTGTCTGGGTGGGGAAAGGAGGGACCACAATGAAAAGAAAAAAGCTAGTATAGAGAAAAACCTTGAAGCAAAAGCACATTTCGTTTTACTTCTGAGTCTCTGCTTCAAAAGTTGTTTGATTTCCATGAGGAATTTGAGTCCATCGGTCTCACCTTGTTGCCTTCCTCTAAATGCCCTGGAGATAGGAAATCGAATTTGTGAGAGTCTAAATCTTAGGGCAGCTGAAGTGTTAGTACTCAGGAGAGGCTGGAAGAAGACTGGATTACTTTTTATTTGCAATACATTTAATCTGCTTCTGCCTCCTAATTCAGAGTACCACAAAAAAAAACCAACCCAACCCAACCCAACCCAACCCAACCCAACCCAAACCAAACAAGTTTAAACAGGTAAGAGTGTTGATGGTCCAGCAAAAACATACCTGTGCTTCATGGGTCTGCCAGCCCTCTTTGGGTCCCCTGCTTTGGAGTTTCTGAGTCACCGCAGGCCCCCGTATGTTTTTGCCCATCAACAAAATCCAGGTTACAACCCCTGTGACTGGCAATTTTTTCAGTGCCCTGTGATTCACAAGTGTGCTGTCCGTGTGGTGTATCAGCTCCTCAGCACTTCCCACTGACTGCTCCATGGGACCTAATGCCTTCTTGGATTATCATTTGTGTTGCAGCTATTGAAAATGACTAACCAGGTAAGTTACCTACAAGTTAGCATTTCTGCTTGCTTCTTATATTGTTTATTCATTTGTTTTTTATTCTCCTGTGAACACAGAAGTCTGTTCTGCTTGTTTTGGCTCTAAAAATGGAAAAGGTTTCTGCACATATGCTAGGTTTAAGTCTGCCATCAGTACCCGCTTAGAAAGATAAAGCTGGTAGATCCTATCCTTCTACCAGACATACTTTTCAAACATGCCAGTTCAGAGAGATCCCAGAGCATCTGTGGGAGCCAAGTGAAGCAGGTCCTCCAGACACATAACACTGTGCAGCACTGGAGACAGCTCTTGTAGTCAGTGATGGTCAGAAGATATGGGTGTCCTTGTGTTTGAGGAGCTAGGCTGGTGTTTCCTGGTCAGATAACCACGGACAAACCCATGGACCAACTTGGGACTAGGAAGGAACTTTTTTCATGTGGATCAGATTTGGCAGGAGCTGTTGGTCTTCTTAGCTCTTTCTATGATGTGAGGGGTCCTCTGTTCCTTGGGCTATTAATAAATGACCTCATTATATCATAGAATGAGGGTGCCAGTCCCTCTCTCAACACCTGAACTGACCTGACTCTCTCTGCACTGCTCCTCAAAAACATGGAGAGCTGGAGGAGATGATGGCACAATTTTTCATCTCTTCTATGGGCCATAGACATTGATTCAAGAAGTCTTGTAAACACCTATTTAGGTCTATCCTTCTTCAATATGATATTTAATTTGTGCATAACTTTAACATGTTTATAAATCTCATTAAATTGAAACGTCAAGAAAAAATATCCTAAACACCCTTTAAAAAAATTTTCCATAGGATGTTTCTTTAGATTATTGGCAGAAAAACAAATGGGAATTCATGCAGCTCTGAAACAGAATTTATGAAACTCATTAAACGTTTGAAATTGAGACATTAATACTCATATTTGTAGGTTGCAGACTGGTGTCTTAAGGCTAAAAAATGTGGTTTTCCACATTTCTAATAGCAACCATTTCCATGGTTGCTATTAGAACATGTCTCTTTAGAAAATGTATTATATATTTACTCAAACAGAGTAGAAGCAATACAACTGTTCTTGTTACTGCCATTGCTGTTGCTGTAGTTGTTACTTAGGAAAAAGTATAATTCACCTCTTTTAGCCTGCCTGTTTTGGGGTCTGATCTCATAACATTTGAACACCTGACCAAAGTGCACCCTACTCCCTCCTGCTTTACCCTTCACCTGACAATGTTTTTCTAACTTTTCTAGATTCTTGTCTCAGTATAACAGGTCTCCTTGTTAATACAGTGCCGATTTATGAGTCCTCAGGAGGAAGTTCAAAACAGTAATTTTAAGAGCTGAAACCTCAAAGACAAAGAAAGTTCAAAGAAAAAGTAAAAAATTTCTGCTCTGTTACACATGCCTCCTTTCTTCAGGACAATGTGGTAACAAACTATGTGTCTTCCACTTTGCATTGCTCTCGTACCCTGTAACTAATGTAATTTGGTGATGGGGAAAGCACAGTATCATCCAGAGTAATGTTGTTTAATCTCAAGGTTTCATTCTTTCTGACATTCTTACCAGAGCTGGTTTCTTTTCTGACTAACAGCAATGTCTACTCTTGTGCTCACTCTCCCCCTCTCTACTCCAGGCTTCAAGTTGTGTTGTCCATG